ATCGGGCAGCTAATTCCCCGGAGTTCAACAGGCAGGCGTTTATTTTGAACCAATATTTAGAGGTCGTTCCCAACGTTTTTTGCTGGTGTCATAATTACAGCGCGTAAAATCTCCGTTTCTACCAGACGATGTTCATTTCAATCGTAGAGCGCAATACACGCTGTATCGCAGTTATCGCGGTGCTATTCTTAAGGCTTCAGTGGCAAGCCTTCCTAGTAACGTTGTTAGTCTGTTATCTACGGTTGTATGTCTTTTACACTTTTATGTCACCAGATACTGTTTAATTTTATTTTGATTTCTTCTTGCACAAGGCTACGCCCTCACACTTTGATTCTGGTGTTGGCTACGTCCACACAGAACATGTCTTATTTGGAGAAGTACTCCATATACTTTATAATCCTTGTGAGATTTTATTCTCGTTTATTTGTGATAGCTACATCCTCACACGTGTTAATCTGAGGCTACGTCCTCATTATTTCTTAGTGGCGTTTTATTGGGCGAGTGGTGCGGCCACTTTGTTGTGTGCCATGCTCGACCCAGCCTATATTGTAGTTTAATTTTATCTTGTTAGATTTTATACCTACCACCATAAGCTTTTAGTATTCTCGCACTACGTTTCTGAGTGTGTTTTTCAGGAATTTTACCATGCCCGCCACTCGAAATCAACGTGCTCAGCGACCACGACGGTTCCTTCGTCCAGTTCTCCTCAGCCAGCAACAGCTGCTCCTCTTGCTCCAGCCTCGGCTATCACGCCCCAACAGCTCCAAGAGGTCGTCAGCTCCGTAACCGCAGAAGTTACTCGACGCCTGTAAACTGTAACAACTCCAGTGCCTGGTGTCGACGCAGACCCATCGAGTTCTCCTTCTGGACCTGCTGTCTCAGTTACGGATGGGCCTATTGTCCGCATCTCAGAGCACGTTGCTACTCCTCCGACGACTGTGGCGCAACTTGCTGTTTCCAACGCTGTTGGTTCGGCCCACGCCACAATTTCAGGTGAGACGTTTTTACTGGCGCCTAATTCTAGCCATGTTCAACCAACGCAGGAATATCACTCTATTAGTTTACCTATAGACTGTCGGATTTCCATTAAACTTAAAAATAAAATTTGGAACGATGAATACATCGACACCTTTACTGTCAATGAACATTAACAGACTCAAGTTATTAACTCAAATTATCAATTTTAATGATTTTATGATATTTCTAATAAATGACGAAATTTATTTAAACAAGACGCCTGCTCAGGCGTTCACACTGGCCTGAAAGTAACGAGATACGTGCTATGGTGCAAAAGGCAGGAATACAAATCTTAAACCGCAAGCAAATTTTATGGACTTTTTAAAAAAACCTTTTCGGGAGACGTAATGGAGATCGATGCACGTGCAAATCATGCCGACCTACAGAATCGATTTACGGTTTTTCCTAACAGCGCGTTGTTTTCATGTGCGTTCCATGGGCCGCGCTAAAAATATAAATATTCTGTAAATACCGAAATAAAAGATGAGAATCTCAAGACACAAGCTTGAAAATAACACTATAAATAATGTTTTCGATTCTGGTTCCAATAACATTATCACGAAAAGGATATGTCCAAAGGGGCCGAAGTTATGTTCGGCAAAATGTATGGCTAGTTTACATTGTTTGTTGTATTATGAAATATGATACCATACTTGTATTAAAATTCGCGTCGAACTAAATGTTATTGTAAATGAGTAGACTTGCCACAAGTCGACCTCGAACGAAATGCGTTTCTTCGAGGTCGACTTGTGGCAAATCTAGCAAATGAGAACCATACAAATGATACAATAATGGTTCTAGTTCTTGTTGGTATTTTGAACGCACGCTTTATCTTTCAGTATACTGTAGCTACCACAAATCTTTTCGTGCGGATTATATTTCGTGGAGTACTAAATATTATATTTTGTGGTTTTCGAGTCATTACACAAAGAAAAACACATTAATTCAACACGCAAGAAAGTCCAGAGTACGACACAACGTAAAATACATAGGAAACCGGCAAAATTCTTTGAAAATTCAACGAAACTGTGTAAAATATAGTTTGATCACTCTGTGAAAAGCCGCCATTGCAGTTCGGAATTGTGCGCGTGCGTACAAGTGTATAGGCTAATAAACGAACAATGTACCACAAGCATGGCATGAGTCGGCTAGCACGTACATAAATACGTAATTTGTTGCTATTGTATTTGAATCATGGAACGGAGGGAATCGATGGCATTTTGGCTTAATCGTTGCACCTTGAGCCTGCGATGCGCTAACGCAAACTTGATTTCTCGACTACGAAAAAAACAGAAAAAGAGGGATTTAAGACACTTGGCCTACAGGCCAGTGTAATAAAGCGGCTGTGATCAATTTCACAGCCAAATTATCCCAAGTCGAGTGTTTTGTTTTGCCAGTAAACTGAGCTCGTTAAATGCAACACCTCGTGAAAAACAGGAAGGCAAACGCATAAATAAAAATATTTCCTACGCCTACGGAAATATGGTTTTTGCATCTACTGATTTTCAATCAGTAGCTGCATTGCCAGGACCTACGTCCGTGGATGACGGGAAAAGACAGGTGATGACATATTGATGACGTATCGATGTAATGCATTGCGAGCATAGAAATTGCGAGCTAAATTCGGTTATTTATTTATTACTCGCTGGGGCACTTGTGCCCCGGACGAGTATAGGTTTCGGCTCACATTTTTCTCCGATTGATAGCCACAAAATAGAATATTAATGAGCTGCCTAATTTTCCCCCCAATTATCCACAAGACTCCTGCCAATTTTGCCCAAATTATCCATAAATAACCCTGCATTTTGAGGAAAATTCGGGAAAATTGAACAATTTTACAAGGAATTTCGCACGGAAACAGCAACCTTCGCAAATCGCAAGTTTTTACGTTTGGCTGCGCTGCTTTTATATATTTTGAGAAGAAAGCGACACCGTTCGATTCAGCGTAAGAAATTGTACTCACGGATGTCAAATGTATTACTAAACAGCAGTATTCTAGCGATTTATGGCCTTCGAAATTGGCAAATTGTATTGTTGATAAATCGCTCGCACAACAGGGAACAAACTCGCACTACGTTTGTCCTTGTATTTGTAATGCCTCATGGCGCAATAACGATAAAAATATCACCGTTCGATTCAGGGTAAGAAATATGCTGTCTCGTGACAATGACCAATGATCGGAATTTTTCGAGATCAAGTGACGAAAAACAAGAATTGTTTTAACAATTTCCTGGACATCCTCACAGCACTCTCTCCTCCGCAGAGCTTTCCTGGTTTTATGCGAAGCTTGGTATCAGGCGATTCGCCGAAGAGAGATAGACAGTCTAGCGGCTCTGGCTGTATCCCTTGTTTGCTTTATGTCTTATGACATCGAAGCTTCGCCTTGTTAAAAAGCTAGGAAAGCTCTGTGGAGGAGAGAGAGCACACAACCTGATGAGTTGACTAGTATCCCGGTACCTGGCAGTACCAGGCTCGCGTCGATGTCTCGAGTAACCATGCAGATTCAGGCTCGCGTCGACGTATTAAGGAATACTGGCAGTGCCTGGTTCACAAAATCCAACCGTAGGCATCCTTATTTAACGATGACCTCTCAGCTTACGATGACCTTTGTTTATACGTCGTACCTGGCAGGGCCATGTCGAAAAACAACTGAACTTCAGATCCCTGCGTTCATTAACTGTGCTGCGTTGTACCACTATTGGCATATCATGATTTGCCGTTAAGCCTGTTTTCCACTAGGCGGAATTTTATTTGTCTTTTGTAATTAGTTCCACCCGAGAAATCACAAGACAAAGAAAAATTCCGCTCCGCGCGCAAAATTCCGCCTAGTGGAAAACCGGCTTTATTATTGCCTGTTGCTGTTCTTTGTGCATAACTTGACGGGAAGCATCAGAGGAAGTCACTACTATAGAGGTATGTATTCTAGTTAACTTTGGTGCTTAGTGTGGATAGCGAACCGGCTAAGATTGCCGAAGAATATAAACAGCGAACTTATGTGTATGACATGCAACTACCAACCGTTAAACAGTAATTAGCACCTGCTTTTGGGGTTAAGTTATACTTCAACGTTCGTTTGCATAATGTGCACAATTTTTCAGTTGCACATATTTCTTTGTCAGAAGTGCATTTGCCAAATTTACCAATGACGCAATGTTTTTGCTCAATTTAATTATTACTGAGTCAACTATCTGTTGCTAAATTTACAATAGCTTTGGGTTATATACAGAAACAATGTAAAACGGGTTACATTTTTAAATCGTTGAGTGGTATCGGCAAATTTATGTAGCCTATCACAGTTTATGAATTAAATTAGCGCAAGTTGGCCGAACCAATGTATTACAGTTTAACAGTAGCGCAAGTTCCCATACGATTATAATAGTGCCTTAATCAGCATGTATGATCATGAAAATTCATTCAAACATAATTCAACTCATTATATTCTAGCGATTTCATATATGTGGCATTGTTAGCGTTAGGCTATACCTAATATAAATTTGTTGTGGAATTGACTCACAATAATAAGTGCTGTTCAGTTAAATTGTACGACAGTACGAGTTTATATATGAATAACATTTGAAATATTTGCAGTGAAACCACTCTAAATATATTTTTAAAAATAAATTTCGGTTTACCAAGGCTCGGGATAATATTTTGCTCTATATACCGTTAGAAAGAGCGTAAAAGTTTACAACCTGTATATGTTAAATTGAATAAATTCCTAAGAAATCGTTTGCCTGGGTTTCGCGCAAAATTGTTCTGAATATATATGACAGACAGCGCTGTCCATGCATATATATATATATATATATATATATATATATATATATATATATATATATATATATATATATATATATAAAAATATATAAATAAAGATAAAATAAACCTGGTTTACTTCATAAGATTTATTCACTACAAACTTGTTTCGTATGACAAGCAATGCTTGCCACACTCATCAGGTGAATTTAAATGTCGCGCGACATTTAAAGTGCCCCTGTCACAAAATGAGAGTTTACATCATTACAATCGTCTTGAAACGTAGATTATGAAAATACAAAACAGATTTAAAATTGAGCTTGTTTTCACAGAGTAATAAGGCAATGAAATTTGAAAATTTCAAATTTTAACGGCAAAAGTTTTTGAAAACCGCGAAGCTGGGAAATTGGTAACTAATACGTCATAGTAGGAAGACATTGCCTTCTCGCCTAAGTGAAAAGAATATAAATACTAAGTGAGAATCACAATCAAGCTGGTCAAAATTCGATACAAATGTCTTCGTCGAGTTCAGATACGGAGAATAACAGTTACCAAAGCGATGACTGCCTGAAATTATATTCCTGGGCCGTATCAAATCGAGTGAAATCGATGAAAATACCAGTGAAGCGTGGTCAACGTCGGTTGTGCGCACAAATGATCGGCGCTGCTTGATCCATATGTTAATGAACCATGCAGTGACCGACGAAGATGGCTCAAAAGTTACCGCGAAAAAAAGCAATCACAACGAACATCTTAAGCAATTACAACAAAGGCTTGATAGTTCAGAAGAATTGAGTAAATGGTAAATATTTCACTCTGATATTGTTGCGTGACTTGACCTTGTGTTGTAAATTACAAACTATAATATTTCATGTGTAAACGTGGCAATTGTCGCATTGAACTCACTTCGTAAATTATGCTAAAGAGTGTCAATGTTGTATGGAAATTGAGGAGTGCGTCGATTCTCTACACAGTGACATTGTGATTTGTGATGCAAGAAGCTGAAGTCGCGCCATCGTGTATAATTCAACAGCTATGGCTAGATAAGTGAGCTCTCCGTTCAGCAGCCACGAAATTACGAACAAGAAAGAAACAGGAATACCGTCAAACAAGCACAGAAGATAGGTAAATAAAGTTTTATTTATCAACTTATTGAAATTAAGAAACACTTTACCGTACCCGAGTTTACTATCAGTGAACACACGCATGCGGTACGGTAACTGAGAGTTTATATACGGTACATACTGTTCAATTATTGAATTATTATATATTTACATGTGTTCACATGCAAGTAAGCAACTTATTAAAAATACTTATTTATTAATTTATAGATTCTGAAGGAGCACAGCTTATAGAAACTTTGTGTGGATGGTTTATGGACAACTAGGAAATAGACATTTTTGCGCATATGAGAAAATAATGCCTGCTGTTGATGAAGACTTTGTAGGATTTGTAGAGAACAGCTCTTGATATTATATAACTATTTTCCAATAAATAAACCTATTACACTGTATAAACGTGGTAATATTATACTGTATTGCGTATAGAAACAGCACATTTGCTATATTTATGACTTCAATATTGTTTTGCCAAAGAGACTGAAATTTGAGATTAAGATTTGTATCCGATGTTTTTCTGCACTTCGTGCGCGCAGGTTAATTTGTACAAAGTGTTGCAGCACGTTTAGGAATTTTTCTGACTTGTATTTCGTTCCAGGCACTACCTTATACTATAGCAAAATGTGGCAATGAATGACTAAGTTATTTCATTAAGTTGCTTCAATGGATTATACTTTGTAATACATTTTATATACACCCCCGCAGTGTATCTGGTTTCATGCCACAATTTGTTACAAAATCTGCATATTGTACGGGTTTTCACTGCGGTGCAAACACAACGAGTGTATATATGTATAATTTACTGCGTCAAGTTTACTTATACGTACAATTCTACTTTCCCTGTCTAAACTAATTTACAAACAGTGCATATTGCTTGTAGACGTACGAAATTGGCTTTCATCAGCTATATTTTGACCATATTCGCTCATAGTCATAGCTATATTGTCGCGATATTTTATATTTCTGGTGAATCCATTGGCTGTGGCTCATTTATATTTATCGCGCTTTCCAGTTTCGTGACTATGACCATATCGGTTGACTGCATCGAAGCAGCTTCTAAATACAA